AACCCAACCAGTATTTTGTGTCTCTGCTGGGTGAGTCACTCAATAGCACCCTTCAACATTATCTTTCCTCATTAATTTCTTGGTTACAATGCAGCTTCTTCTTTTCTACAGACCACTTCAAGCCTCCTCTGTTTGCCTGCCTTTTGGCTTGCTGAAGGTCCAGCAACTCCTTCGCTATCCTGTATCATCTTCCTGGTTTTCTGTTGAAAGTTGTCTCCACATACAGACTCTCATACCCACTCAAGCAGCATTTTCCATCAGAGACTCTCTGATACCTGGCTGGAACAGAAGCAGAGACACTACAGAGGATACAGTTTAGAATGACCATGAATCTACCTAACAGGGCAGGGATTGCAGCTTCCAGAAGGTCTGGATCTACTGCTGGTACAGAAAAGTGGAGCAATCATTGTCAGGTGGCCTTACGGATTGGACCAGCATGGGTGGGTTTGTACTGTTCAAAGGGGATTACTTTTATTAAAGCAAGAAGGAAGAAAAATATGAATTCTTAACATGGTCTCTAAAATTAAATTATACCCTGTTACTGAAATTTGTTGCTTCTCCTGTTTTTGGTGAAGATAACAAATTGCTTCATGTAGAATTCTCCTATCTCCTTTTGGGTATGTATATGGATGGGGCATTTAGGTACAAATATATACATAAGCACCACCAAAAGAAATATTTTTTGAGCAACAAATCTATTTAATCCCTGTCTAATGATTAAATCAGATTCCAGATCCCAAAAAACACATTTCATTGGTTCTTAGCTAGAGTTCCTTTACTTTGACTGCCCCCAGCTTGGCACTTCTGTTGAACTATCAATTTGCACAGGTGTTGGTTGAAGGGAAACGAGGGCTTGTAATTCAGTGCATCCAAATAGTGCGAGATTGAACCCAGTATTCAAGTATTTATTGAATATTTGCCAAAGAAAGATTGCAAAAGAAGTATAAACTTGGGAAATAATCCACTTTTGACTCCCATTAACTAGAGACTTGGGTTGGATCCTTAAAGACAATAGTGTACAGAGATGAGCAGTTTCTTTGGTCATCTAGACTAGGGGTAGGCAACCTTGGCTCTTTTATGACTCGTGGACTTCAACTCCCAGAATGCTGGCTCAGGCATTCTGGGAGTTGAAGTCCACGTGTCATAAAAGAGCCAAGGTTGCCTACCCCTGGTCTAGATGATCAGGCATGTTTTGTGGTATGTTCTATTTCTAGAAATTCTTGAATGCCTGACAAGTTTTTTTGTCAGAAAAAAGGAGGTTGTGTGTCTAATCACACTTGGGCAAATAAAGTATTCAATTAAATTCAAATCTAATGAAATAACATTTCTGGGACAAAAAGCTTTGGGCGAAGATGAGGTCGGACAGATTCATAGATGATAACTTGATGTTGGCAGTCTTTCTAAAAAAAGGAGTTTTTGTACATCAGTTTTCATGGCAATCTCCAAATCAGCCTCCCCAGTTTGGTTTTCTCTAGATAAGCAGACCAAGAACTTAGAATTCCTCATACTAGGCTGGGAATATGGCTCCAAATATGTTGACAGATGCAACTCCAGGTCTATTTCCCATGTCTAGTTCTTAAGGCATCTTGCCTGTTCTGCATATACTTTCCTTCATTGGATAAAGGGCCTTTTTGCTGGAAAATAGGATAAGAAGGTCTCCAAGTGGTTTATGATTTAAATGATTTGTGGAATGGGGTAGCATAATCAACACATTTCCTGAAAACATGGGAATTTTTTCTGCAACCAAAAAATTAGTCCTCAGTTCTCAACAACTCTTCATGAAAGAGCAGATTCTTCATGTAGCCACAGGATGGCAGCCTTATCAGCAGGGACATCCTTAAAATTTGTTTCTTTCTAGGGACTTCAAAGGATTTAGTTTTACCCATTCTTCAAAAGTCTTGGATGGAGTTCAGGATGTGTGAGAAAAAATATTATGGTGCAATAAAGCTACTTGCACATCATTTTAAGAGACTAAGAAATCTGTATTGCTTATTTCAGCCAAAATGTGTAAGCAGGTTGCATTGCTTTGAACATCCATCACTATTGCCTATTTGCCAGCACGTTTGAAACTGTTTAAAAGCTGCTTACACTGCTTCAATTCCAAAGCACTATGTGATGACCTGACAGTCTGAATACGTGGGTTTGTCAGTGTATCTTCTGTCAACAGATTCCCACATAAAATTAGACAATAACCTTATGAAGACCAGACCAGTGACACACCATTTCCTATAAACTTTTGAACAATAATGAGATCCTTTAAAACAGACTGTTTAAAAAGTTACAGTCTCTTACACTGTTTTCTTGATACAAGTGTTGAAAACTGCAAATGTCATGGACAGCCAAGAAAAAATGGATCATGAAACAAATCAGCCCCCTTGAGTTACAAATGATCAATTTATCCTCTGAGGAAGATTCTAATGTTAGAAAAGGTGGAAGGAAAGGGAAAGAGAATGGCTAGCAGCAAGGGAGGTGACACAATTGTAGTGGAAATGGGTGTATTTTTGGAAGACTTGAATAGACCCACTATAGTAAAATCTATGTGATTCCTAGATGTTGGTGGTGGCATGATAATGATAGTGCAAAATCAGTGGTCAAGAGAATATTATAACTGCATTAAAAGAAAAGTAATAACGTAGGTGATCCTACGGAAGTTGAATAGTTGTCAGAGATTTCTTTTAGAGATTTTACCAATCTGCCCTTTTGTATTTCCTTCCTCTTTTTTCTGTGATATTATGAATCCATTGCATGATATCTTGAGTAATTTTTAAACAGGTGAAATTGTAAATTGAACAAATTGTTATTACAATACTGAGGTTATTTATTTACAGGCAGAAGGAATTCATTGAATCACATCTCGTTGCAGAACCAGTTGCTTCTACCTTCTCACATAAATCTTTCCTATCCCGTTTAAGCCGTTGTTCCTCCAATTCCACCCTG